TTTGGGGAAATTACGAGAATAAAGTCATAATATTAGGTCTACGAGAATAAACTTGTAACATTACGACTTTATTCTCGTAATTTCCAAAAAAATAAAATAATTTTTTTTCTTAGTATGGCCCTAATACTCCGTCGTACTATCAGCAGTAAAAAAGGGAAATTAATTGTTTGATGTTGTCTGGCGTCAACATTTTCTCATCTTTAGTGCTGTGCATAAAGCACTAAAGTATTCACAATTACATGGTGAAAGTAAAGCTCACTCATTCTAATGAGTCAAACTGCTTTTGCTTGTTTCACCAACCAAGTATCAAGAGAGAAAAGGAAGTTAACATTTTTATTAACTTGGCAGCAATGTCACAAAAAAAGATTTTTTTTAACAGTTAACATCCATTTATGGCTCAACCATATCCCTCACATCAGTGCCTCTTCATTCTTTCATTCCTACTCCATTTACTGTGTCATTAACTTCCCTGCTGTCCTCCCCCTTCATCTCACCTTCCTCCCGCAGCAGTATCCCAGGCCCTGCATGACAGGGTCGATCTCTGACTCGAACACCTCGGCCAGCTTGGAGCAGTACTTGTAGACCCGGGACGTCTTGCGGTTGTACAGCCAGGCATTGTTGAACATCAGCCAGACATCGTCGACGTATTGCCAGGGCTCTTGGTATTGGCCTGTGTCAAGCTTACGCTTGATCGTGGACAGGTCTATTGGGTTCTTAACAATGTCGAAGTAGTCCTAGAGAGAGAAGGACAAATTTTAGTGTTACAGTACAAAGAGCTAAACTATAGCAGCTGAACTACGTGTGCTCACTTTTCCTCGTTTAAAAAAGGTCCAGTGTGTAACCATTTAGGAGGATCTATTGGCAGAAATAGAATATAATAGTAATAGGTATGTTTTCATTAGTGTATAATCACCTGGAAATAAGAAGAATAAGTAGTTTTTTTTTACTTGAATGAGTAGGTCCTTTTACTATGGAGTCAGTTATATCGAACCGCTATGTTTCTACAGTAGCACAGAACAGAGAGCTCACAGACTCCTGACTCGCCTTTTGCATTCAAGTTTCACAGCCACCATAGTTTCTCCTACACCCTTCAAAGGCTGAGCTGTATTCAAATAGTTACAATCTGCACTTAATCCTACACACTGGTCCTTTAAAAGGTTTTGTTTTAAGAGAAAACATGAGGTGGCACATGCTACCTACCGGGATACCCAGAAGCATGGGGTCTACTGGCTGCCTGAAGGGCAGCGACTCAGGGTCCTGCCTGTAGAGAGATTCTAGAGTCGGCATCAGAGCCTGGCGCAACTCCTCGGGCTTAAAGACTGAAAAATGAACAATGGAAAAGCAAGGTAAGTAATTAATTAAAAGAGAAATGTAAAGGGAAAAAGGTTTATTACAAAAGAAAAAAAGCAGAAGAGAAAGAGGGCTACTATAACACTTTCTATATTGGACCATCAAAAATCAAATCCTGTGCTGGTTGCATTTTGTGAGCTGTATTACATCACCCGTTTTTAAAAAGCAACGGACAACTGAAACACAACTACGTTACATGAATCTAACTTTATATTCTGACTAATACCAACTGCACGGTCGCTTCATTCCTGTTTTAATTATTTTTTAATTTACAAACATCGCTCCTTAACATTGTAACCAAAAAGTTACATTACATGGGCTTCCATTGGGTATCATGGTTTGTAAATATTCTACCAGCAGATGCACAACCTGTTTATTATCTGTGTGAAACTCTGGCAAGATCAAAGCAGTTTTTACAAGAGTCTGGACATTGTTGAGAGTCAGTGGCAGACTAATAATTTTGTAATAAGTTTAAATGAAACTCAAAATAACTGTGTCACAGTTGGCACAGTGCAGGTGTATTAACATTACTGTCAATGACAGAAACCCTCTCTGCTTACTGAGTGGAAGTTTCAATCGGTCAGACGGCACAGGTTTTATTCATCTTTTGGCATCAGACTCACTTTTCCTCCGTGACTGAGAGGGAGATGAGGAGGTTGTGCTGTTGGCTCCACCCTCTTCCTCTTCTTTGGGTTCTGTCTTCATTTCCGGCTTTTTCTCCTCTACCTCCATTGGTTCCGGCTTTTCCTCTGGCTCCTCCTTCTTCACAATAGTAGAAGAAGAGTCTTCCTCAGTCTACGAACAAGAAGGCAAATGACTCATTACAAAAAACGGTTGTGTTTTAAAAAGTCATACTCAAAAGAATTGGATGACTGATAGCATCTGTCTCTGATATGTACAACCTTGATGATCTGGAGGGAAATACGTTTTCTCATAACTCATTAGCTTTAGCGTCGTTTGTGTCACAAGTTTGTGTGTGCATCCCCTGAAACTCTCATTTCCTTGATAATCTGGTATCTTAATTTCTCAATGTTCTCAAAATGAAGGAGCCTAATTACAGGCATATCACATAACACGAAGATCTAACTTGGATGGAAACTTCTTCCTCCCCCGATTCCAGTTATTCAACTCAAGGTATCTTCCAGTGAGTAGCGATTACGCACCCGAGTCAGGACCCACTGTGACTGAATGAAGCTCATTTTATAAATGTTATAGTTATGAATTTTATAACAATATCTACAAAGAAACGACAAATCGACAAAAACTGGATGAGGCTTATCCTCCTGTTTCAATGATGTCCAAAGATGAAAAGATAATTTGCTCCTTAGTCTTCTGATTGTTTAGATTTATTCAACTATTTAATGAAAGAGAAATAAGTTCAGGAGTAAGAATTCTGTTGTGTAACAACTACAAGGCCGAGGACTTTCAATTTCAAACATATGGGGTTTTCAAATGACAAATGATAAAATATTAAAATTGATGAACTTAAAATTGCGAGTAAATTAATATATTCGTGCTACATAAGTTTTATTTAAACATTATTTTTATCTAAATATGTAGGGTAGAGGAAACACAATGCATAAATGAGTTAAAAGCAGCATCAATTAAGGAATGGACAATTGAATCAGTTTACATGTATTTCAACTTAAAGCTTCAACCCACCTCCATCTTGGGCTCTGTTTTGCCACCAGCAGCCTCAAACTCCTGCTGGTCATGGTGTGCCTCTGCTTTGACTTCCTGGACGGGCAGGTCTGCTCCGACATGCTGCGAGTGCAGGTCGGCGCTGGCGGCTGAGGCCGGTGTGGGCACCCGGTTATCCAGACTGGCCCCTGATTGAGACAGCTGAAACACAGAGGAGAAAGGGAGAGAGGGAGAGACAGAGGAAAAGAAAGAAAGACAAATATGAGGTCCTGTCAACAGCTCCATTGGATTTTTGCATGCAGAGCTGAAGCCATGGCACAGATGGACACCTCCCACATTGATTTCATTGCTCCCTTAAGTTGAAAGATGTAACATTCCCATTGTGATGGATGCTACAAAAAGTGGTGAAGATGCAGTTATCAGACAGAAAGGTGGATGTGGATGGGACGGGTTGGTACATGGCAGTCAGAGGGATGGGAGTTTGCAGGGGAGGGGTAGTCAGAGTGGAGGGCATGCGGAGGGTCTCAGTCTCACCGGCGTGGTAGGGGGCTGAGGCGGGGGCTGCGTCTGTGCTGCTGCGGGGAGCTCCGCCTGGGGTTGGGGCTGGGTGGG